CCCCCCCCCCCAACATACACACTCGAGAATTGGATTCAGGTATTCTTCGTTCGGCGGCAAAAGGTGGGATATTCGGAGTTTGATTAAAATGAGCGTGCAGACTGACTAGCTGTTGCTTTAAGAAGCTCATCAGGTACACCGATGTAGCAAGAAAAAAATAATTCCTACACATATCAATGGAAGACAGCAAATTACTCAGCTACTAGTTATCCAATCGGGTTTTTTTACTGGGAAAATGTTTCCTATGTTACCCAATTTCTTTTTAGGCAAAAATTGTAATAATGATTACATTTTGAAAAGAGAACCCGTGAGAAAGAATTAACCATCACGTGTTCCTGGACAAAGATCGATATTGTGTTACCCTACAACTATAAACTTCTAACTTCTCAGTACCTAGTCTTGAGGAATTTGAAGATAAACAATTTGAGTTTCACAACATGTAAAGCTTTTTTATAACGCAGTTCTTTGAATATCTTGATAATGACTTCAATAAATAATCTTACGATTTTGATCGAGCCGATAGAATGTTTGGTTTCTTACCTCATGGTCTTAGTAACTCAAACCGGGCAAAAATGTCAGATAGTACTTTATAATTCTAAGGTACGACGGTCAGAGAGGGACGCGTCAAAATATGGGAGAACTCACACGGGCTGTGCACGAGCAGAGAGAAGTAGTAGAGCGTGTCATTGTCCAGGCTCATCTCGTAGTCCAGCAGTTTGTCCGGAGTGTCCAGCAGGTCGTTGGCTTGTCCGGCAAAAGCCATACCGCTGCCGCACGACACCCTGGCCAGGTTACGTGCCGTTCGAAACTCATTCTTGTCAGAAATCTGGGAAATAAAACGATGACGTGCGGTGTCATTTCTTGTCTGTATTTTTCATGTAAAATTTTCACGCCCCTATCAACACAATCTAGATCATTTCAAAGGCGGACTGCGTCGACCCTGCCTTTCAGGGCCAACTCAAGGTTGGATGAGATACAGCATCCCACAGAAATACGAAGTAATTTGACAAAAAGTTATAGATTGTAGACCCAGAAGTCAGTACAAACTATGGGATCTGTGGGTGTGTGTGTGTGATTATACGGGGTGCCCACTACGGTTGGATCGACGAGCCGATCGCCGGACTCGATCGCCTTAAACTGAAAACAAACACGTTTGTTTTTGAGGCGACCGAGTCAGGCACTCGGCCCAATCCGCCGATTCCATCCATAGTGGGCCCCCCGTATTACAGGACTGACTTACTTTGGAGCCTCGTGTCGCCGTGGGGACGTTGAAGCCAGCCTTCTGGGTGAAGTTTGCCATGGCCTCCCTCTGGTCTCTGCTCATCCTCCACATGTGTTCTGTGGTCAAGTACATGGCCTGGTCGTCGCTCAGCTTCTCAAGCTTGTCCACAGAGAACGACTGCGGGTGAGTGGAAAAGCAAGGTGTCATGATGGAGGGGAATCAGACACTCGTACATTTTGGGGCATATGTATGCTTCCCGAGAAGCTGAGAAAGTTTCTTAGTGTTCTATGGTCTGCTGGGGTAATAATATAGTGTAAAGCGCATAGAGCTTGCTTTCGACTGGGGACATGCGCTGTACAAATGCTATTTATTATTAT